TTCAATTACTTTGGTAGTTTTACAGGGACACCAAGCACCAAAATCACTTCTATTTTTATTTTAGAATTTTAATTGGAATTGCACCTATGTTGTCTACTGGTTTTTAACATTTTGCAACACAGCTTCTCTTTCAACCATGGAAATGAATTTCAAAGATTTGTAGAAATAGCTAACCGCCAGCCTAGACAAAGTTTTTTTTTTCTAGCTTGATAACAGGTGAATACTTTGCATAGGAATGAAGAAAGGATACAATTAATGCATAAGGGCTGTTTAAATTCCCTTCTTGCCCACACGCACCTGATCCAGCGACTGGGGCAATGTGTCGCTGTTAATGATGCACACAGTGTTATTAAGTTGAAGGCACCTCGCATGGAATGTTTTATTTATCTTTTTAAAACTTCTCAGAAACGTTTCTGGTCAGCAAACTATATTCCAAGTTCCCAAGTTACATAATGCATGCTCCTAATCTCTTCTAAATCCCAGTTTTCGTTTTAAACAAGGTATACTTATTTAAGACTATTCTGAAGATTGGAACGCTAACTATACTCCCTCCACTGGACTCATGCAATAGTCTATATGTCACATTGGAACCCTGGCAGCCTCGATAACTGCACAGGACAGATTGCAGAGTTTCTAGCAAAGCTTTCCTTAAACCAGAAGAATCATACAAAACAAAGAAAGTGTTGAGGCCATTTTTTTTCAAAAAGCAGCAAAACACATCCTAAGGCCAAACGTGTAGTAAAGCAAATAACAGAGCACAAAGGTCTTCCCAAAAAAATGGTATTAGAGCAAAATATTAGTCAATTTTTTTTTTTTATATTAACAGAAGTTGTGGTCAAGAGTTGATCAGATTTTCAGTGTCAGAGTAAGATATCTTTCAAAGCCATTCTCTTTAGTCAAACACTTGTTCCACTGGTCACACTATATGTCCAAACTTGCTTGGCATAAATATGCAACTAAGTTTAAATCAAAGACAACACAGAGATTGAGAGATTGTCGAAAGACAGAAAGACTTCAAACATTAAAGGAACACTATAGTGCCAGGAAAACATACTCGTTTTCCTGGCACTATAGTGCCCTGAGGGTGCCCCCACCCTCAGGGTCCCCCTCCCACCGGGCTCTGGAGAGAGGAAAGGGGTTAAAACTTACTTTTCTCCAGCGCCGGGCGGGGAGCTCTCCGCCTCCGATCCTCCTCCTCTCCTTTTCGGCTGAAGGTGCACGCGCGGCAAGAGCTGCACGCGCATTCAGCCGGTCTCATAGGAAAGCATTTACAATGCTTTCTTATCGACGCTTGCGTGTTCTCACTGTGATTTTCACAGTGAGAAGCACGCAAACGCCTCTAGCGGCTGTCAATGAGACAGCCACTAGAGGATTTGAGGGCTGGATTAACCCATTTATAAACATAGCAGTTTCAGAGAAACTGCTATGTTTATAAAAAAAATTGGGTTAACCCTAGCTGGACCTGGCACCCAGACCACTTCATTAAGCTGAAGTGGTCTGGGTGCCTAGAGTGGTCCTTTAATTTATAAAAGGTATGTGTAATGCATGTAAAAACAATACTTGTGTGTTTTTTAAGGCACAACTGCTATCATTTACTTTCTTTTCCCACATTCTCTGATTTCATTTTATTGTTAGTCTGTTTCTGAGAAATCAAATTACACATGCAATAAGTTTTGATCTGTTAGAGAATTCAAAATAATAATAATAAAAAATAAAATATATATATATATATATATATGTGTGTGTGTGTGTGTATGTGTGTGTTTATGTATATACACACACACACACACACACACACACACATATATATACATACAGTGACCAAAATCAAGGAATTATACTGGATTGAGTCTATATCTCCCCAAGTCCTGCAAGGTTCCTACTTTGTGTAATTAGCCCCAGGGAAATGTATTGTATTAAAATGAATATTGCACTTTACATATAAGTGTATGTGGGGGCCATGGGGTGGAGCACTTGGAGAGTAGGGTAGGACAGTGCTCCACTCCACATTTTGGAGGTTGCTTGGAAACTGCAGGTGAGAAATCCAGTTCCAGAGTTTCAACACTGATTTACCTCACCTGAAAAAGATTGTTAACCCGTTAACGCCGTTATGGCGCTCTATGCCGTCCCCATCTAAATGGGCTTTAAAGCCGTTGCGGCGGCATAGAACGCTGTAACGGCTGCAGCCCCCAGAGCGCCTGGGATACTTACCTTCCCGGCGCTCCACTTCGGGAGGACTGCATGACAACCCAGGCAGCCCTCCCACGGCAAAAGAAGCCCCGGGGGCCATGTGATTGCTCTCACTGCTGGTGGGAGCTGTAAAAGAAAAATATTAAACGTGTAAAATTAAAATAGAAAATATATATATATATATATATATATATATATATATATATATATACACACACACAATATATACATATTATAAATATGTAACATCATACAAAGTGTATTTTAATACTTATATAAGTACATATATTAGTATTAAAATACACTTAGAATGACGTTACATATATAATAGATATATACACATATTAGATATATATATATATATATACGTATAATTACAATAATAAATAAAATAAAATTAATAAATAAAATATTGAAACAAAATTTAATTTAAATTATATATTCAAATGTGTATTTTGTTATTAATATTTATATATTGGTAACAAAATACACTTAGAATGACATTCTATATCTATCTATCTATAAAATACAAATAACCGCAAAAATAAATAAATACATAAAAAATATATATATATATACATAAAATATTACATTAGTATACACATAGAATTTAAATACCTATAAATGCATATATATATATATATATTAAAATTCTACATGTATATTTAAGTAATCTTTTAACATAATTATGTGATTTGATTAATTAAAATTTGATTGACATGCCTGACAACACAGGGAGAAAGTGCAGAGAATTTAATTCGCAAGCACTATATTTGACCCTGTAACTCTCCAAGACACCATAAAACCTGTACAAAGGGGGTACTGTTTTACTCGGGAGACTTCGCTGAACTCAAATATTAGTGTTTCAAACTGGTAAATTGTATTACAACAATGATATTTTAACCCCTTAAGGACGGAGCCAAATGTACACATTGTGAACAAAACAAAATGTAAACAAAACCTGGCATTTGCGCTACATGTCTGTCCAACCGTAATACACCTCTTTCATAGTAAATGCACCCACCCTTATTATATATCATTTTATTCAGGGAAAACAGGGCTTTCATTTAATATCAAATATTTAGCTATGAAACATAATTTAATATGAAAAAAATGGGAGAAAATACTTTTTTTTTTGGATTTTTTTAGTTCTACATGACATTTTAATGGTCAGTGTCATAATACTGTTTGCTTTTACTGCAATAAAATACACATATTTATATTCAGTAAAGTCTCACGTGTAAGACAGTACCCCTTATGTACAGGTTTTATGGCGTTTTGGGAAGTTACAGGGCCAAATATAGCACGTTACATTTGAAATTGAAATTTGCCAGATTGGTTACGTTGCCTTTGAGACTGTATAGTAGCCCGGGAATGAAATTTACACCCATAATGGCATACCATTTGCAATAGTAGACAACCCAAGGTATTGCAAATGGGGTATGTCCAGTCTTTTTTAGTAGCCATTTGGTCACAAACACTGGCCAAAGTTAGCGCTAGTATTTGTTTGTGTGTGAAAAATGCAAAAAACGCCAATTTTGGCCAGTGTTTGTGACTAAGTGGCTACTAAAAAAGACTGGACATACCCTGTTTGCAATACCTTGGGTTGTCTACTACTGCAAATGGTATGCCATCATAGGGTAATTTTCATTCTTGGGCTACCATAGGGTCTCAAAGGCAACGTAACCAATCTGGCGAATTTTAATGTGAAAAAAATGAAATGCAAGCCTTATATTTGACGCTGTAACTTTTGAAAACACCATAAAACCTGTACATGAGGGTACTGTTGTACTCGGGAGACTTCGCTGAACACAAATATTTGTGTTTCAAAACAGTAAAAAGTATCACAGCAATAATATTGTCCGTGTAATGCTGTTTGTGCGTGAAAAATGCAAAAAACGTCACTTTTACTGGCAATATCATCGTTGTAATACATTTTACTGTTTTGAAACACTAATATTTGTGTTCAGTGAAGTCTCCCAAGTAGAACAGTACCCCCCATGTACAGGTTTTATGGTGTCTCGGAAAGTTATAGGGTTAAATATAGTGCTAGTAAATTAAATTCCCTTTACTTTCGGCATGGGTTGTCATGCAGGTCCTGCTAATTGTAATTAATTAAGATACCTAATTATGTAAAAATATTACATAAATATATATGTAGAATTAATATATGTATATATATATACGTATGTGTATATATATGTATATATCTATATAATTTTTTAAAAATATTTTTATTTATATATAGGTATATATATAGTGATATATACGTATATATTTATGTATATAGATATATATTATTTCGTTCTACGTGTATTTTGATATTTTAGATCAATAAAAGTTTTTTGGCTACTTTATTGTACCAATCCTCTTTTTATTGCACTCTTTATGCACTTTAAACAACTTTTGTTTTTACCTATTCCTGGCATTTTAACCTTTCCTGGTTACTTTTACTTCCATTGGCAATTTTAAAGTTCCAATACTCCAAGAAATCCTAGGTGGGGATCATACCACCGGCGCCTATCCATAGAGCAGTACCTCTGCTCTATCTTTGTGAGTATTATTTTATTTTCTCTACTACTCTCTTAACCTATCACAATTGAGAGCACTATTGCTGCTTTTTATTCTTCTATATTGGAGCCTTGGATCACCAGACGGTGCTGACGGACGTATCGCCGCTACATATCCTATAAGCGGGGATTATACCGCTGTACGCTATCCACACCAGAGCTGGCCATAGCTCCCTCAAATGTGAGTTTTTTACCTCTTCTTATCTGCACATTGAACCACATCAAAATTGAGAGCACTATTGTTGCTTTCTGTCTTTCTTTTTCGAGCTCTGGACTACCAGACGGTGCTGACGGAGACCCCTCCCTACATATCCCATAAGCGGGGATTATACCGCTGTACGCAATCCACACCAGAGCTGGCCATAGCTCTCCTGAATGTGAGTTCTTTACTTTTTGTTACCTATCACACCCTGAACTTTCATACTATACCATTAGTCGCCTCTACCTCTCTTGTATTTACATATACGGAACGGTCTACACCAGACGCATCCACAGAGGAACTCTATCAAGTATCCTAGACCATCTATTGGCACCCTAGCAATACTTTACTGGACTATCTACCCTTATTTGGCGCAGCCCTTCCATATCTTTTTGTATCTATCCACCGAAGGACCCGAGGGGTTTTTCTTCATTTGGGTTGCTGCCTACCTTGACTAATTTTGTGATTACTAGCGCTGAATTCTTTTTGTGTTTATATATATATATATATATATATATATATATATATATATATATATATATATATATATATATATATATATATATATTAATTTCACAAAACAGTTAGAACAAAATAACACACATCTATATATTTTTTAATTATTTATTTTTAATTATTTTTAAAATTTTATTTTTTAACGTATTTACATTTTTATTTTTTTATATTATATATAAATATATATATAACAATAATATATATATATATTTAATCAGTATCAGTCTACGTGTAATTTGATATTATATATATATATATATATATATATATATATATATATTAATAGTCAAATACACCTAGACGGTGTACGTGTGTGTATGTATATGTGTATATATATACTTAGATCATATATATATGATATATACATATGATCTAAGTATATATTATTATTTTTTTACACCAATAAATGTAATTTTAATTTTATTTTCAGCCAGCAGGGGGACCACCTGTCATTACAGGCAGCCCCCCTGCTGGCAATGCAGCAGGCAGCCTACCCGGCCATGTGATTGTGGGGTCCTCGCTAGGACCCCACTCTCACATGGCCGGGGAGCACCGGAGGAGAAGGATCTGCTGCGGGGGGGCTCCCTGGGAGTCCCCCCCCACCGCGATCGCCGGCGTGGGACCGCCGGCGACCGGGTAAGTTAACAAAAACCGGAGGGCGTACAATTACGCCCGGCGGCGTTTAGAGCCGCCTATTAGAGGGCGTAATTGTACGTCCTCCGGTTTTAAGGGGTTAAGTAAGTGATTTTTTTTCATTTTTTTACAAACTAACGACACTTTTATTGACTATATTATTGTTGTAATACGTTTTACGGTTTTAAAAGTTAGAGAGTCACATATAAGACTTGCATTTCATTTTTTTGACATTGAAATTTGCCAGATTGGTTATGTTGCCTCTGAGAGTGTATGGTAGCCCAGGAATGAGAATTACCCCCATGATGGCATACCATTTGCAATAGTAGACAACCCAAGATATTGCAAGTGGGGTATGTCCAGTCTTTCTTAGTAGCCACTTAGTCACAAACACTGGCCAAATATTAGTAGTTTGCTTTTTTCACACAAAAACAAATATGAACGCTAACTTTGGCCAGTGTTTGTGACTAAGTGGCTACTAAAAAAGACTAAACATACCCCCACTTTCAATACCTTGGGTTGTCTACTTTTTTAAATGGTATGCCATTATGGGGGTAATTCTCATTCCTGGGCTACCACACCGTCTCAAACGTAACATTACTAATCTGGCAAATTTCAATTTGAAAATGGAACATTCTATATTTGACCCTGTAACTTTCCAAAACACCATAAAACCCTGTGGGGGGTACTGTTGTACTT